ATATCAGCCTTTTTAAATTTCTTGCAGTTAAATTTAGCCTTTAGCATTTTTGTCACTAATACTAAATTTTTAACTTCGCTGTTGGCAAATATAATTTTTTCTTCCATGTGTTTTTAGGCACATCTCTCGTTCTTCAATCTTTATGCTACTTCAACAGTTTATATATCAAAAATRTTCAGCTCCTTCASAACATTCCAGCTAATTTAACTTTAAGCAGCTGTTTTGCTAAACCTGTCTTTTAGCTATCCTTTTGCTAATTTAACTTAGCTGTCATTTTTGCTAGTTTTAACCTTTAAATTTAGTTTTAAGCTTTGTTTTGCTCATTTTAGCTTGTAACGGTTTTTGCCCATTTTTTTTAGCTAGTGTTCATTTAAGTTAACTTTTGTTTTTTAATTTTAGCTTTTCTTCTGATTGTTTTACCTTTAACAGTTAAGMTTTTCAGTAAATTTTGGCAGCATTTTATTGTATTAAAAAAAAAAAACAGCAGTTTATCTAGTTTTGTGTAGCTTGTGGGAACTAATTTGTTATTACTTCTGTCTTGTAAGCAGCCAACTCGACGGAGCCAGACTTCAAATCAAAGGACTGGGTCTTCCTGAACTACACCTACAAACGCTTCGAGGGTCTGACTCAGCGAGGCACCATCCCCACGTACATGAAGGCAGGGAAGGCCTGACGCCCTCAGAGTGCAGTGGAGAAAAGACACAGACGTTTCCGGACACAGGGTCGGGCAGTGGAGCCCCCGCTGGTGCTGAAGGCTGAGCCGTCGGCCTCTCAGTCTAACCCTCATCACCGAGTTATTTAGGTCTGCTCAGCCACCGCAGGAATGCCACGAGCTTGGAAATTAAGGAGCATTACCACATTACCTCGGTTGTTTGCATCATTTGTGCCGTCTCTTAGCCATAGCTCTCAGGCCAGCACTCTAATTAGGACACTAAATCAACATATCTGCATGTTCAGCAGCTTTATTGCTTCTGGATATTTTTTATTTTCTTAAACAGCTGGATAAAGGCTTGAATCACCGCTTTGACAACCTCGCGTTGCTAGTTGTCTGACTGGTGTCTAAATTAGCTCTAACGCTGACTGAGTTCTGTTTAGTGTTTGTTGCTGTGAGGAAAGTTCCAGCATGATTTCAACATTTCTTAGACAAGAGTTTTATTTATGTATATTTGAGTTTGTTTAAATTAACCCAGCAGTTCATTTGAAGATCRTTTTATAAATCTTTACACAACTGTCACGTTTATTTTATGTGGATATTTATGTAAAATGCTGTGGCTATTTGCAAGTGCAGATAGCATCAGCAGCTTGGGGCACTTCCTGTAGGAATTTCAGAACCTTACTTCTGGAATAACAGTGTCATGCAAAACTGATAGCGATGTAGAGATCTAGGAATCAAAGAAATTAGCCATTAGCTCACAAATATTGGCTGAATTCAACTCTATAAGTTTTAAGGTGATTCCTTAACGTGTCGTTTATCACTAATGGTGAAAACTGTTTTAAAGAATCAACAACCAAAGCTACATTACCGCTTTGGTTTGTTTTGTGGGCAAAATGTTAGCAAAGGCTAATAACTTAGCTTAAATTAAATTTATAGCTAACACCATAAAATTACAAACCATATTTGACACATTTCTATTGTTGTCGTTATTACTCAATTTTTAAAAATCAGTTCCATATTTGTTTTTGCATCATCAGGTCAAAGTTTGTAGCTCTTAGGGTTAGCATGCCAACATGTTAAACTTAGCCCTTGTACACTAAAAAAGGGAAACTATTTAAGACCTGTAAAAAAAAGTACTTAAATCATGCTGGAAACCTTCTTCCTGGTGGTAAAGTGTGTTTGTTAAACTAAAGTGGGGTAACTTCCTTTCTCACAGTTGCCAAGAATCAAAACAGTTTAGCCTGTGCTTCACACCCGTTAGCATTGCCAAACACATATTTTTTTGAGTGTCTTTTTTTAAAAGCAGTTTGTTTGCTGTGATTYACAATTTTAATTCAGATTAGCCCAATTCTCCCTTTTTAAGTGAACAAAAAAAAGCAAAAGTGCCTTTTTTAAGCAGCTCATAAACTTTGAGGCAGATGTATAGCTTAGCAAAGATTAAATAGGAAGCTTTCAGTAGGTAGATTAGTATTAAACTGATTGAAAGAAGAGAAACAAAAGACCCATTTATCAGATAGATTTAGTGTGGAGTTATAAAGCTTGTGCGAAGTGATAAAAGTTGTGAAACTGTAGAAAGGTTTTTAATAGATTAGATAATAAAACAGGAAGCTTTTAACAACAAACGGTTCACAAACGTCTGTGGCCATAAAGATAAGTTAGACGAGAAGAAGCCTGATAAGAATAAGATGTTGGATCTACATATTTTTAATTTAATGTCCAGCATGGACGTGTTCATTCTTGGTTTCTTTCTGACCAACGCAAAAAGAAGAGTTAGTCCATAAACCCAACCTGTAAAAGCCTTTTTTTCTCCATGTCTGCTCAGTTGGCTGTAAAGACTTACCAAAGACCCGAAACCGAACACTAACTCAGATGTAGCTGCCGCTTCCTGCACTTAACGTGAAACTACCTGTTGAAAATAGCAAACTTTTAATGAGAACTAATGCGATTATTTACAGTTTCTGTTTGTTATGCTTGTGAGAACATGAGCGTGGATGTTTTTTAATTGGGTTGTACATTAGGGGTGTGGCAGGATTTATGCCAAACCATCACTGTTACCAACGTTTGGCCCGGTACGCTGAGAGGCTCGCGCTACATTTACTAGCATGTTGCTAACGGCTACGATGCAGAAGCAGAAGGAAGATATGATTTAAAATTTTACATTAAACAAAGCATGTGTGATTCTGAAAAACTCACAGAGGCTTAAATAATTCTTTAACATGTGTATGGTTAGTTTTTTTGAGTTTTACATTTCAAAATTTAAAAATAAAATAATTATACATGGGGTGTTTTTTTAAAGAAAAATTAGAAAAACAACTGCAGATAAAAAAGGCTATGCATTTTAAAGCAAAGACAACCTTTATATTATGGTAGTGCAACATTTGGGAACTTTTGGCAGAACCGGAACGTATGACCTGARCTCCTGGTGCATTACGTTTTCACTTAGTGCTTTAGAAGCGGCTGATTTCAGATTGTTTTTCCTTTTTCACAACGTTCTATWATCAGTGCAGAATAGTTTTTGAGCGCAGCCACTGTCAGTATCTTTAGGAATAGTTTGGTTTATTTAAGCAGTTTTAGCCACTATAGACTCTTCTTCTTTGTCGACGTTCATTTCCAGTATCGCTACAAAATAAAACTACAACCGTACATTTTATTATAAAAATTGATTATAAAAATCAAGCACTGGATTTTTATTTAGTTTGATTTTACATTTAGGTTTTAAAAATAGAAAAACAAAAATAATTTTAAAAACAACACGATTTTCTTCTTGCAATTTTATTTTGAAACAGAAAAAGCAAAGAATGTACCATGCACTTGTTTTTTCTGTTTGTGTCAAATCAGCAGAGTTTTATGGTTGTAAACAACAAAAAGTGCATATACGGCAAGCAGTTACCTTATATAATCTATGCTTTCAAACGTGTGGATTATTTTTTCAGTATTCTTGATATCAAGCGTGATTTTCCATAGAAGCCCTCAGCTGGCTGACAAACGAGCGCAAGTGTTTCACATTGTGTTTATTTTTGTTTTTTTCCATGTTTTCTGACCTTAAGTTAGACAGATAATTTTTGGAGGAATTTATCAATATTTTTGTTTGACTTCAGTTCTGAACGTTACTGTTTACTGTTGAGTTTGGATGAAAAAACAAGTAGAATAGGATTTTTTTTTATGAAATTACCAAATTGTCGAGTCGTGTCTTGATGTACGTAACCTTAGAGCCTCTACATTGGCGAGTTTAATTTTCCTTCTGCTTCTGGGAGATTTACTGTCTGTGAACAAACAACAACATAAAATAACATTCCTGATGTGCCGAATCGTGACCTTTACACCAGACCGTGGTTTGAGGTGAACCGTTACGCCCCTTTTGTACYTCCTTAAACCGGAGAAAAATGAGGACGTCGCCACAGTTCGGGTGTAGCCATCAGGAATCCTGTGTTAGACTGTGGTGCTACAATGGATGTAGAATATGAGTGGTCCAGTGGATCAGTTCACTATTATACTCATTTATCATTCTGAGCTGCACTCGTTTGTCTGGAAATCTATTACAAAAATAATGTGCTCACCGAGTTTAACTAATGAGGGTTTTAGCAGCAGATGTGTGTATATTTTGTTATTTATGCTACTTGTATTTTTTAATGTGTAAACTGGCTTTTTGCTAATGTTATTTAAATTAGCCGTGTTTTATGTGAATTGACTTGCCTAAAGTTGGAAGGAGTGTGCCTACTGGCCCATACGGCGTCACAACTCCGTAAGAAAGGACATCTTTCAGATCTTGTTGCGTCGCTGTGGTTCTGAATTCTGGTGTCTTCCACTTTCTACAGGACCTGTTTGTTAGGATGTCTGTTCAAAACTACTGTTTACTCACTGACAAAAAGAAGTTAAGCACAGGGTGGTGAAAATGAAACAACAGAGTGTCGAAAAATTGGGAAAAATTGAGTGTTATCTTGTTAAAATAATCGTAAAATCAGGGTAAGTAAGGAATAAAGAAAATGTTAGTTTCTCACTGGCTGGTGACTCAAAATTGGGACTGGCTATTTTTATTTTTATTTTTTTGCAACCTCGGAGCCATGTGCTAATGTTTTGATCGGCCAATTTTTAAAATCATGACCCGTGTTTTTGTGTCCATGGCTCACAAAAGTGTATTTTTGGCCACGCACATTATTTTGTTGTCTAGCTCCACCCACATCTTTCCCACCTTGGCTACCCACCTCAAAGTTCATGATTAAATCTACTGGAGTAGACGTTTAAAATGAAGGAAGATAGATTAGGACCTGTTATTTTTTTATGATGTTTTATTAATGGACCTCCCGTTCACTGTATTGTTTCCTGTTCTTTTCAATGGCAACCCCTTCTGTTATTCACTTTTAAACAGGTCCCTGTACTTTGTCTTTTTATTTATTTTTTGTCAAGTTTATTGTGACTTGAGCAGAAGAGTGCACTCACATGAAATCTCAAATAAATGGCTCGGCCACAAGAYTACATTTTTTGGCGTTTTGAGTTACCATATCGACGTAATGTGTCAAAAATGAACCCCTAAAATCTATAGAATTATATTGAGAATTCTTCAAATCCTATTAAAACTACTATTTTTAAAGTATCACATGAAACACTGGATGGATTTTTTAAAACTTTGACARAAAAATCATTGGAAGTTTCTCTACGACTGTTTGGTGGTTTTCTTCAACCCAATTAAAAATGGCTACCATAGATACAGCAAATCTAGTTAAAATTGGTTATATTTAGAGACTGAGCTAAACTTTTAGYCTAAAGTTACACTCCTACTGTTACMATTCCCAAAATTMTTCTAAATTCAAAATGTCCTCCACAACTGATACAAACATGTCTACAACTCAATAGTTGCCCATTCGCAGCCCATTGAGATGCTACATTAACGAGCCTGTAACATGAATATCCTTCAAATACAAGAAGTCAAAGAATACATCTTTATATTTAAGAAACTTTGCATAATACACATGTTTTTACGCATTTTGTCACATAACTGGCATGTTTTGTTTTGAGTTTGGCTCAGCCAAAATGAAACAGGAAGTGACATCAAAGGGAAAACYTCCTGGTTTTTGTTTGTTGAAACATTATCATTTGACTCCTCATCAGTTATCTAAAGAAATGTCAGACTCTTCTTTACAGACTGATGTTAATGTAGCAATGCTTTATTCACATGCAGCCATTCCTCTTTGAAATCATTTCCTTTTTCTGCACATGTAAATATCTCAACAACTGTTCAATACGTCATCARTGTCATCTTTACAAAAATCCATTAATATTAATTATAAAAATTTGATGTCACGGGCACTTTAAGGGATTTTGATGAGCTGTTGGTTGCTCTGGCAACTGCCTGATAACGCTCCATTTGTAATGTCACCTCTTGGAGCGTTTGCTGTTGGTTTTAGCAGCTAGCAAACTGAATAATTATAAAAAACCGTCCAAATCAGATCATAATTTTTATTTTTGTCAGTGAGTTTAGTTTAAAAACAAAAGCTAGGTAATTTCACTGTGATACCAATTTTTTTTGTATTTTTAACTGTAGAATAACTAAAGTAAGAATTAGTTCATCAGTCAAAGTTTGTGTTTAAAGTGATAAATACAACATAAAGTATATTCAACCATCCAATCTAAATCAGAATATATACTCARCTCTGGTTTCTGGTTTAAAATCTGGTTTTATGGAAAGCTGGAACAGAGGCTGACTCAGTTTTTAAAAGTAGATCACCCTGATGGTTGTCGGTACAGAGTAATAAAACAAACAAGAAACAAAAAAGTTTGATTTTTCTCTTTAAACACACAAAATGACTTGAAATTCACAACCGTGTCACTTTACCTAAAGGAACCTATATTATTGAAAGAGTACAGGAAATGTTTGATTATTTATCAAACAAATCATTTGTGACGGACCAAACCAGTTTACTGCCTGACTGCGAACAGTCTGAGTCTTCAGGCTCATCACTGGTAGTTACTGAAAAAATAAAAAGGGATAGGTGCTTGAAAATGTCTTCAACCAGATAAAAGAATTTGGGAACCACTTTGCCCCCACCCCGTTGAACTTAAAACGCCCTCCACGGTTCAGGAAATGTGAGGGGTTTGTTTTAACTGTGTCACGCTGTAGAAACTGGAAGGAAGTGTCCCTTAATGTTCAGTCATGTTGAGTTTTCTGTTCAGAGGCTCAGAAATAAYAAAATGAAACACTGAGAGGCAGGTGGCTCTTAAATATCAGTGTCCAAGTGACTTTATTTGTTGCACTCTGTTGTGGCAGGCAGGTCTGTTTGTGTCTGTTAGTAAAATATACATCATRAAAAAGAAGTTTTTGTTGATGCGTTCAACATTTTTTGTATTGAAAGTAKTTTGCTTTAAGTTGCAGCTCACCTGGCACACAGCATGGTAAAGTTTGAAACTCAGTGCTCAGAAATATGTGTTGGGGACGACTCTCAGCTACCATCACACTAAATCTGAACTCAATATCTGTAAAAAATAAATAAATAAAAAAGACTGAATCAAGCTGATCTCTTTAGGGCCACCATGTTGAATCAGGCTGAGGACAAAAGTTCAGAAGTTTTGTTAAAATATGTCTGTTGTTCATTAAATACTAACATAACAAACACATTTTTATTCCTTTCTTTATCAGGACTGTGTAAATACTTCCATTCTTACCATAACCCCTAAACCCCAAAATG